GGGGTTTTGAGCTTTGGTTTGTAGTGGTTGGTTCCTGGGTTTTAAGGCTATTATTTGGGTAAAAATGAGGGGTTGTGTTTGGCCAATAAAAGGGGACAGGGCTGGGCAATATTAGGGGTGGTTTTGGACATATGGGTTTGGGTTATTTGTGGGGGAACATGGGCAGGGATTAGTGGTTTGTGGTGGGTCAGGATTTTGGCTCTCTTTGGGTGTTGTGTTGGGGTTGTGAAATGTATTTTGTCCAGGGGGTGAATGGAATAAAGGGAGGGTTTTATTTGTTTAATAAAAGGCTTAAAAGAAGGAAAATAACAACAAACAAAAGGTTTTATTTTACACACTCTTATTTTCTGCCAGGGCTAAAATAAGAGTAGGAAAAGCTTTATTTTGAAATGAATTAAATGGCAAGGAGTTTTGGATGTTTAGGGTTGGGTTGGACGGAGTGGGATTTGGTCTGCGGAAACCTTGGGTCCGAAGTTATCTAGGCCTCTCGGGTTGAAGGACGTGGAATTCTCACTAAAACGGATCATAATGTTTGAACGTAAGTCCTTTGGTTTTTGCGAGGGTGTAGGACATGGGAGAGGGTATGATAGGGCCAGTCCCGGGTATAACATGATGGTAGCCTTTGAAAGCATCCATGAAGCTCAGCAACTCACACCCGGCCGTCTCATCGACCATTTGGTCGGGACTGGGCAGCGGGTATGAATCCATGGGGCAGGCCTTGTTCAGATCCGTGTAGTCTACGCACATGCGCCACGTGTCGCCCTTTGGTGCTAGGACGACATTTGCCAGCCAAGCCGGGTACTGGACTTCTCTTATGTGCCCGACCGCCAGCAAATCCTTCACTTCTTTCTTGACAAAGTCCCTTCGGACATTTGCCAAGTGTCTCTTCTTTTGTTTCACCGGCCGGCTACCTTCGATTACAGCCAACCGGTGGCAGATAATGGACCGGTCAATGCCCGGCATATCCACCACACTCCAAGTGAATATGTCAGCGAACTCCCGGAGGACTGAGATGACTTCCTCTCGAAGTCCTCCAGGCAAGTCCCGGCCTATCTTCACCGTTCTCTCTGGAAATGCTTCCCGGAGAACAATCTGCTCGGTCTCGTCACCCGGTTCCAACTTCGACCAGTCTTCCTCCTGGGAAACCAGGGTAACCCTTTCGAACGCCTTTGTCATCTTTTTCACAGCTTCAAGATAACAAGACCGGGCCTTCTTTTGATCTCCCCAGACTTGTCCTATATCGCCTGGTGTATACAACTTCATGCAGAGATGGGCCTTGGAGATGATTCCACGGACTTTATTTATTCCAGGCCGGCCTAGGATGGCGTTGTGAACACATTTAATGTTCACTACCACGAACCTCATCTGCTTTTGGATCACCTTGTCTCCCGTGCCCAATTCACAAGTTAGGAGGATTGATCCCTCAGCTTCAACAGAGTCCCCAGTGAACCCGGACAGGGGAGTCTTCAAAGGCTCAAGCCGTGTTCGACACAGCTTGAGTTTCTCAAATGCCTCTAAGTAAAAAACATTGACACTACTGCCCGTGTCAACGAGTACCCGGGAGACATCGACTCCACCCATATCCATGGTTATGACCAAGGGGTCATTGTGATCTTCGCCGGTGGCGGGAAGGTCCCGATCTGTGAAAGTGATCGGCTCCCTTCTGGTTTGCTTTGATCGGGGAGCTAGGGCAACAGTGCCAATGTAGAGTTCCCATCCCCACTTCTTTCTTTGAGAAGCAGAATCTCCACCTTCCGGTCCACCATAGATGACCTGCAAGTGCTCCTTGTCGGCGGCTTTCTTCCTTCTTCTTATTCTGCTCGGCCGGTTGTCCTTCTGGCCGGACCCATTGGTTTTTCTTTTGCTTTGCATGAGCCAGATATTCTGGATCAAGCTCTCCAGCCTCGATCATTTGCTTGATTACCCCCTTAACACTATTGCACTCAGCAGTGCTATGGGAGTCCGTTTTGTGGAAAGAGCAATACTTTTCGGTCCATTGTTTCTCCCCGGCTGGTTTCTTTTCCAACTTTGCCGGCTTCACTTCCAAGACTTCTGTTTTACCCTGCTGGGCAGTTCGATTTCCTTTTTCAAGGAAATCTTTCCTTTGAAATGGCCTTGCTCGGCCTCCCTTTTGGATGACACCTGTGCTTCGGCGTCAGCATAATCCCAAGCCGTGTTGTAGGCCTCCTGGTATGACTGGGGAGGTCTCTGGCAGAATTCTTTATACAATTCCCCGGAATGAAGCCCGGAGACTAGCAGGGACATCGCGGTTTTGTCGTCCATCTCCTCCACCTTGTCAACTTCATCCTTCCACCGGGTGAGGAATTTGGTCAAATCTTCGTGCTCCCTCTGCCCGGCTGTACTCAAGTAGGTAAATTTTTTCCTATTTGTACAATTTTCCTTAAACTTCTCCTGGAACACCTCGGCCAGTTCATCGAACGAATCGATCTCGCCGGGCGGGAGGTTGTGAAACCACTCAGCGGCGCGGCCGCGGAGGGTTTAGAAGAAGAGCAAACACTTCTCATCCCTGGATAGACCCATCATTCTCCCGCTCTGGTGGAGAGTTTTGACATGTATCTCTGGGTCCTCCTTGCCGGTGAACTTTGGAACCTCCAGTTTCGCTTTCTTTGGAAACGGAGTTTCGTGAACCCGGTCTGTGAACGGAGATTCGTTCAGCAAGATTTTCTTCTTTTCATCCCAGTCTACCCGTCGCTGCAGTTTTTCCAAACGCGCTTCAACCCGGCCCACACGGTCCCTGGGTTGCTCTATGTGAGTGCGGACCGTGTGATGGCTTTCCACTTCTTCTTCTCGGGGTGCCCGACTGTTCTGGGGCTCATCGCGAGGGGTGGCTCCGTGCGCTTGGTCTCCCCAGGTCGCCCGGCCCCTCTCCCCAGGCGGTCAAAAGCACTCACCGATTTCGGCCATCGTGCCCCAGCCTTTGAAATGCTGACCTCTTGGAACATTCTGGCTGGACCGCTTTTCCCTTCAACTTCTTTTGTGCCTGGGGAACATCCTAGTCCTCATCTTTGTTGTGGACCGAACGCACGTCGCCGTCCGGCGTTATCTGAGTGTGTGACCTCTGGGATCTACTCCTTCTGGACCAGGACGGACCAGCTTTGTCCATCTCCCCGATCAGATTTGTTGGAACGACCAGCCGGATGGTATTAGTTCGGGGAAAAGACTGTGGATATAACCCAGGAATGAAGGGAGAAAATCCTCTCGGTTGTTGAAACATGGACATGAACTGCCCAAAATTTTGGAAAGCCTGGGAATACATCGGGTCCATGGGCCCGGGAAAATTTGAAGGGAAAATGGGGACAGAAGTTATAGGGGAAGTGAACGGGGTAGGTGGCGGAATGGTGATGATGGGGGTAGGAATCATGGTTGATGGTTGGGTACTCACTCCCGGGAACGAGGTGATGTTCTCAGTCGTTCATGGCGGAATGGTGAATAAAGCATGCCTCACAAATGAGGCTTTTAAGGCTATTTGTAATAATTCTAAGCACGTCAAGCACGTCTCTGATTATCCAGCCGGTTAGCAGACTGACCGGTTCCCTAGGCCGACTTCAATAGTAGAATCTATGTCTTCGCCTGCTGACCGGTCGGGCAGCCCGGGTCAAACAACCAGGCTGTAACACCCTCCGTCCCGCGAACCAGGTTCACCGCGGTCCAACGTGCCGGAGAGGTTACGTAGACGGTTTAAGGCCGTCCACAAGGAAAAACCCCTTGCGTTGCTTGTAACGGAAAAACCCTTGACATGCTTTATTAAAGAGTTTATAGCGGAAGTAAATGTAAGTAAACTGTTAGGTCATAAATAACGTAAATGCGACAAAAGGGGGGGTTCATGCCCAAAACGTTTTCATAAATTAAATAAGTAATTCATCTGGCCCGCACTGTCGTTCATCCGCAGCTCCTATCACCCTGTCATCCGGGTCAGGCTCCATGGTTCTCTTGCCTACCTCCGTATAGCAAAGGGAGAAACAACACTATACGCTCAGCAAAAGCTGAGTGGTAATCTAACAGTAGAACGCATAGCACATTCACATTGATATACACATGATCGTACTTGAACTAAGTACGGGATACCACGTACAAGTTTAACGGATAAGAGTTACAAATAACAATGATGTCATGCCAAATAAACATGATGCATGAGTTAGACTGCGCAGGGACCCCCTGCCCTTCGGTGATCATCCCCACGCGGTAGATGAGCCGAGGAACGCCTTAGTCATCCCAATGGAGACTAGAATGTGGGTGATAGCTCAGCCTAGCTACCATGTACGTACACAAGCCCTCGTGATGAAAACCCGTTGGATCCCGCAGGTTCCTGGACGGGCCCACGGAAGAGGCGCACTGGGCCTGACCCCTTGGCGTGGTATGCAACGTATGCCATGGTCCTAAACATGCGTCTAGGATAAACATGATGGTATGAATGCATCGGTTGGAGAGTGAGGTTATATTCAACACATGCAAATATATTTGATTCCATATATAAACTACTTGTTCAACATGGTGGACCTGGGTTCAGAGCTGGCTGATAATCGATTAACCACATCTGATAATCGATTCTCATGTTACGCAGTTCCTGTTCCCAAGTTCCCATGATAATCGATTGTCTCCTCATGACAATCGATTGTCCAGGTATTTGCTCAGGACACCCAAGTCCAGAGGGGCCTGATAATCGATTATAACTATGTGATAATCGATTATCAAAAGAACCAGCCCAGACTTGAGATTCCGCAGGACCCAATAATCGATTATCAGCAAGGTGATAATCGATTATCACGTCTTGCTGAAAAAAAACTGAGGAGTTCAGCGCGACCTAATAATCGATTGTCAGATTCTGTAAATCGATTATTGAGGCACGCTGGTTCCTATTTTTTGCCTGTTGGATTTTCATTAAGACGTTAAGAGTTGTAAAATGAACGTTTATGTTTCCAGCTTAAGTATTGATGAGTTTGTAACGTTTATACTAACAAGTGTGTAATCGAAAGGCCTAATAAACGAAAAGTCATGACGATGTGGATGCACGTAGGTTTAGCCGGTAACCCTATGAATATAACGATATGATTATACTACGAATTCTAAAGTTAGAGGGCAACGTACTCACCTCTAAATGCAGAGATTTACGATCACGGTAACGGATGAACGAATGGATAACGAACGTTGGGCAACGAACGACGAACCTCCTGCGTGGTCTCCCTTCTCTTCTACTTCCCGTTTACTCGCCGGAATCCACTCCGTGCCTGCCTGTTTCCTTGGCCGAACAGAGAAAAGGGAGAGGGGAGAGTGTTGAGAGCTTGGTTGGGGGTTACAAATGGGTAAGGGAAAATGAAGGTGAGAGTGGAGTTTTAAATTAAGAAATGAATGGGGGAGTTATGAAGAATTAAGAGGATTAAATAAGAATGATGGTGATGAGTTGTGGCGTGTGAGTTGGTGCTGGGAGTTACATCTCCTAATTTGTTCCGTTGTGTAAAATCTTACCTGATCGGTACGCGGTATTTTCCCCGAACGGGTCCGAATTGAGATTCGTTTACGTTTTCTGGAATCAGACAGTCAAAACGAATATTATGACATGATCAAATACTTTTTCTAAGGATTTTATTTCCAAACCCCGGTCCGAGTATCTAATTAACTAATTAGATTAATCAATTCTAATAGACCGGGTCGCAGGGCGTTACACATATCCACCCTTAAGAAAATTTCGTCCTCGAAATTTACCTGATCACTGGTCACTGAAAAGATGGGGATAACGGGTGCGCATGGATTCCTCGGTTTCCCATGTCGCCTCCGCAACGGTGTGACTTCTCCACAGAACCTTGACCAACGGAATGGTTTTGTTCCTCAACTGACGGATCTCCCGAGCCAGAATCTCAACCGGCTCCTCCTCATATGTAAGGTTCTCGTCGAGAGTGACCGTATCCGCAGGGATCACGTGTGAAGGGTCTGACCGATACTTTCGGAGCATAGACACGTGGAATACATTGTGAATCCTGCTCAACTCAGATGGTAATTCGAGCCTGTAGGCTACAGGTCCCACACGTTCAGTGATTGGGTATGGGCCTATAAACCTCGGACTAAGTTTTCCCTTCTTTCCGAAACGCAAAACATTCTTCCAAGGAGATACCTTCAAGAAAACCTTATCTCCCACCGCGTACTCGATGTCGCGTCTCTAAAGGTCGGCATAGGACTTCTATCGGTCCGATGCCACCTTAAGCCGGTCCTTAATCACCTGGACCTTCTCTTCGGTCTCACGAACTAGATCTGGTCCCTCCAATTTCCTCTCGCTGAGCTCTGTCCAATAGGTAGGTGTCCGGCACGGCCTACCGTACAATGCCTCGTACGGCGCCATACCAATGCTAGCCTGGTAGCTGTTGTTGTATGCGAACTCCATCAACGGTAGATATCGCTCCCAACCATCCCCAAAGTCGATCGCGCAGGCGCGCATCATATCCTCGAGGATCTAGATAACCCTCTCGGACTGACCGTCCGTCTGTGGGTGGAAAGTCGTACTGAAGTGGAGATCAGAGCCCAAGGCTTTCTGTAGGCTCTTCCAAAACTGCGATGTGAAACGCGGGTCATGGTCCGAGATGATAGATGAGGGAACTCCATGTAACCGGATGATATCGCGGATGTATAGCTCCGCCAGACGCTGTAAAGAGAAATCCCGTCGTATCGGAAGGAAATGGGCGGACTTAGTCAAACGGTCCACAATGACCCAAACTGTATCGTTCTTGCGAGGCGACAAAGGTATCCCCACTACGAAGTCCATGGTGATACGATCCCACTTCCACTCAGGAATCGTAATCTGCTGAAGTAGTCCGCTCGGTACCTGGTGCTCAGCCTTAACCTGCTGGCATGTCAAGCATCGTGCTGTAAACTCTGTGATTTCTCTCTTCATCGCAGGCCACCAGTAATGCTTCCGGAGATCCTGGAACATCTTGTTACTACCGGGGTGCATGGTATATACCGTACCATGTGCTTCACGAAGGAGATGTTCCCTTACCTCCCCCACTGGCACTACCACACGTGCCCGATACAACAAGACACCATCCTCACGGACAGAGAAGTAGGGTTTCTCGCCCCGAGAGGCGAGCTCACAGGTCTGCCTGCAGAAATCGTCGTCGCTCTGTGCCGTCACAATCTCATGCAACAATGTAGGCTGAACTCGGAGTACGGCTAGAGTTTTGCGACTAAGAGCATCGGCCACCACATTCGCCTTACCAGGGTGATAAGCGATATGACAGTCGTAGTCTTTAATCAACTCCAACCATCACCGCTGTCGTAGATTCAAATCCTTCTGACTCAAAAGATACTGCAGACTTTTATGATCGGTGAATATGCGCGTCGTCTCGCCGTACAGATAGTGCCTCCAAATCTTCAGAGCGAGAACGATCGCCGCCAACTCTAGATCGTGTGTAGGGTAGTTGCACTCATGTGGCTTCAACTGCCGAGACGCATAAGCTACAACCTTACCCTCCCGCATAAGAACACACCCTAGGCCATTGTGTGAGGCGTCACTGTATACCGTATACTCCACTCCTGGGGTCGGCTGAACCAACACAGGTGCCTGGGTCAAACACTCCTTCAGTCTCTCGAAGCTCTGTTGACAAGCCTCGGTCCAGTCAAACTTCACGTCCTTCTTCATTAACTTGTGCAAAGGTGAAGCTATCCTTGAGAAGTCCTTCACGAATCGGCGATAATATCCTGCCAACCCAAGGAAACTCCTCACCTCTCGCGCGTTGCGTGGGACCTTCCACTCCGTGATCGCTGAGATCTTGCATGGATCCACCTTCACTCCCTCAGCCGAGATGACGTGGCCGAGGAAAGTGACCTCATGCAGCCAGAACTCACACTTAGACAGCTTGGCATAAAGTTTCTGCTCTCGTAGGATGCTGAGTACCGTGCGCAGGTGCTCCGCGTGCTCCTCACGCGTCTTGGAGTACACCAGGATATCATCGATGAAAACGACCACGAACTGATCAAGGTACTTACGAAACACACTGTTCATCAGATCTATGAAGACAGTCGGTGCATTGGTCAACCCAAAAGGCATCACCGTGAACTCGTAGTGACCATAACGGGTGCGGAACGCTGTCTTAGGGATATCCTCCTTCTTGACCGGGATCTGATGGTACCCTGATCGCAGATCAATCTTAGAGAAGACTGTGGCTCCTCTCAACTGATCGAACAAGTCATCAATGCGAGGAAGAGGATAACGATTCTTGATGGTGACTTTGTTCAGCTGACGGTAATCGATGCATAGCCTCATCGAATCGTCCTTCTTGCGAACGAACAGGACTGGTGCGCCCCAAGGGGACACACTAGGACGTATGAAACCCTTATCCAAGAGCTCCTGCAGTTGAGCCTTCAGCTCCTTCATCTCTGCCGGGGCCATGCGATAAGGTGTGATGGAGATGGGTCCCGTACCCGGAACCAAGTCGATGGAGAACTCTACCTCCCTCGGGGGTGGTAGTCCGGGCGGCTCGTTTGGAAATACGTCTGGAAACTCACACCGTAGGGATTTCCTCTCGTCCGGGTGCCTCTAGCTGCGTGTCGCGGACGGTGCAAAGAAAGGCCTCGCATTTCTTGCGTATGAGGCGACGAGCTTGCATATATGAGATAAATTCGGGAGTCTTCGGGAAAAGCTCGCCACGGATCAGAACGTCATTACCATCTTCGGCTTTCAGCCGTACTGTATGTGCGCCACAATCAACCACGGCTTGATTGGTTGTGAGCCAATCCATGCCCAGGATAACATCGAATTCTCGATGTGGGAGCTCTATCAGATTTGCAGGGAAGCTCTTCCCTTGCACACCTAGCGGACAGTCAGGATAGATATATTTGAGACATAGACTGTGCCCCAACGGATTGGACACAACCACCGGATTCTCCAGGTTCTCTCTCGGAATATTAGACGATACATGCATAGATGTACACAGATATGACAATGTGGAACCTGGGTCAATCAAAGCAGTTATGGATGTATCGAATAAGGTGAACATACCCATAATCACATCATGAGCGGGCTGCTCAGTGCGTCCATGCATCGCATAAGTACGGGTTGGAGCCTTCCCGGACTGAGCGCTCTGTGCCGGCCTTTTCGGTTGACTGGACGCCGCTACCGACTTCTGACTCGGTGCGGGCTGGGCTGCTGGAGCTGAGACTGCGACTGCGGGCGCTGTCGGGAACGCCTCTCTAGGGTTCGTCAGGCAGTTCCTGCGGTAATGCCCGGCCTGTCCACACCCAAGGCATAGGCCCTGAGTGAACCAACACTCGCCGGAGTGCCTCCGGCCGCAGAGGTTGCAGATCGGGTTCCGATATCCGCTCTGACTCTGGCTCTTCCCACTCTTCTGAGTGGGTGCTGACGACGCGGCTGGTGCGGACCTAACCTTCTTGCTCGAGTGCGAGCTGCTCGGTACGTGAGGAGGCCTCTTGCTGCTCGAGCCGGATCTGGATGGCGGTGGCGGTCGAGGATGCGTCGTCTGGGACTGCTCATACTCAGCCTTCCTGAGTAAGGCCGTCTGTAACTCCAACGCCTGCTTGTACAAGTCGTTAATGTCATTCCTCGGTGCGGAGACCAGCCCGGAGGACAAATTAGGGCGTAACCCCTCCCTGAAGCGCTTGCACCTCTTCTCCATTATTGGCACCAAGTCCCGGCCAAACTCGGCCAGCTCATCGAACTTCTGGCGATACTCTGGCAGCGTAAGTTCACCCTGCTTGAACTTCATGAACTCGTCACGCTTCTCCTCCATGAAGTGCTCGGGCACATACTCCTCACGGAATAGCTCGTCGAAGGTCGCCCACGGCACCGGCTCCGGGACGTTCGCTCCTGCGCGTTTCCACCAGTCGTAGGCGGCATCCTGAAGCAAGGCGATAGCTAGGTCGCCTCTCGGCTCTGCTGGAACCCGCAAGGTTCTGAGTACTCGACTCACACGCTCGAGCCAGCGCTTCGCGACCATGGGTTCCGCGATCTGGTCGCCACGGAACTCCTCGGCTCCGTTCTTCTTCAACTTCTCAATCGTGACCATAACCACAGGAGGCGGCGGTGGCGGTGGTGGTACATACGCCCCGGCCATCTGCTGGAGGAACTGGAGCATGTTGGCCGCCATCTGCGGCTGCAGATAAAGAACCGCCTGTGGTACGACATTCGGTTGCGGAACCTGCGGCTCCGGAACTTCGTGCTGCGGTGTGAAGCTAGACGCCTCGGTATGCACACTCATGTGCTCCTGTTCTCCCTGAGGACCAACTTGTCCATGCTCGGGAGCTTGACTCATCTCCTTTCTGGAAGGAGATTTCCTATCAGGTTAAGTAATAACAATAATAATAACTCAGATGATACGGTTACCTTTCCCGGTGGAGATACGAAGCGGGATGCGATAGTGGGTTCTGAAAAGAATGTTTTTTTTCAAAATGGGTTTCAAAAGTTTTTTTTAGAACCGTAATGGTCTCTGATACCAAAATGTAACACCCTCCGTCCCGCGAACCCGGTTCACCGCGGTCCAACGTGCCGGAGAGGTTACGTAGACGGTTTAAGGCCATCCACAAGGAAAAACCCCTTGCGTTGCTTGTAACGGAAAAACCCTTGACATGCTTTATTAAATGATGAGGATGGATTCACTTAAAAGAAGTTTATAGCGAAAGTAAATGTAAGTAAAACTGTTAGGTCATAAATAACGTAAATGCGACCAAAGGGGGGGTTCATGCCCAAAACGTTTTCATAAATTAAATAAGTAATTCATCTGGCCCGCACTGTCGTTCATCCGCAGCTCCTATCACCCTGTCATCCGGGTCAGGCTCCATGGTTCTCTTGCCTACCTGCGTATAGCAAAGGGAGAAACAACGCTATACGCTCAGCAAAAGCTAAGTGGTAATCTAACAGTAGAACGCATAGCACATTCACATTGATATACACATGATCGTACTTGAACTAAGTACGGGATACCACGTACAAGTTTAACGGATTAGAGTTACAAATAACAATGATGTCATGCCAAATAAACATGATGCATGAGTTAGACTGCGCAGGGACCCCCTGCCCTTCGGTGATCATCCCCATGCGGTAGATGAGCCGAGGAATGCCTTAGTCATCCCAATGGAGACTAGAATGTGGGTGATAGCTCAGCCTAGCTACCATGTACGTACACAAGCCCTCGTGATGAAAACCCATTGGATCCCGCAGGTTCCTGGACGGGCCCACGGAAGAGGCGCACTGGGCCTGACCCCTTGCCGTGGTATGCAACGTATGCCATGGTCCTAAACATGCGTCTAGGATAAACATGATGGTATGAATGCATCGGTTGGAGAGTGAGGTTATATTCATCACATGCAAATATATTTGATTCCATATATAAACTACTTGTTCAACATGGCGGACCTGGGTTCAGAGCTGGCTGATAATTGATTAACCACATCTGATAATCGATTATCATGTTACGCAGTTCCTGTTCCCAAGTTCCGTAAGCCATGATAATCGATTGTCTCCTCATGACAATCGATTGTCGAGGTATTTGCTCAGGACACCCAAGTCCAGAGGGGCCTGATAATCGATTATAGCTATGTGATAATCGATTATCAAAAGAACCAGCCCAGACTTGAGATTCCGCATGACCCAATAATCGATTATCAGCAAGGTGATAATCGATTATCACGTCTTGCTGAAAAAAAAACTGAGGAGTTCAGCGCGACCTAATAATCGATTGTCAGATTCTGTAAATCGATTATTGAGGCACGCTGGTTCCTATTTTTTGCCTGTTGGATGTTCATTAAGACGTTGAGAGTTTTAGAAATGAACATTTATGTTTCCAGCTTAAGTATTGATGAGTTTGCAACGTTTTGTAACGTTTATACTAACAAGTGTGTAATCGAAAGGCCTAATAAACGAAAAGTCATGACGATGTGGATGCACGTAGGTTTAGCCGGTAACCCTATGAATATAACGATATGATTATACTACGAATTCTAAAGTTAGAGGGCAACGTACTCACCTCTAAATGTAGAGATTTACGATCACGGTAACGGATGAACGAATGGCTAACAAACGGATAACGAACGTTGGGCAACGAACGACGAACCTCCTGCGTGGTCTCCCTTCTCTTCTACTTCCCGTTTACTCGCCGGAATCCACTCTGTGCCTGCCTGTTTCCTTGGCCGAATAGAGAAAAGGGAGAGGGGAGAGTGTTGAGAGCTTGGTTGGGGGTTACAAATGGGTAAGGGAAAATGAAGGGGAGAGTGGAGTTTTAAATTAAGAAATGAATGGGGGAGTTATGAAGAATTAAGAGGATTAAATAAGAATGATGGTGATGAGTTGTGGCGTGTGAGTTGGTGCTGGGAGTTACATCTCCTAATTTGTTCCGTTGTGTAAAATCTTACCTGATCGGTACGCGGTATTTTCCCCGAACGGGTCCGAATTGAGATCCGTTTACGTTTCTGGAATCAGACAGTCAAAACGAATATTATGACATGATCAAATAATTTTTCTAAGGATTTTATTTCCAAACCCCGGTCCGAGTATCTAATTAATTAATTAGATTAATCAATTCTAATAGACCGGGTCGTAGGGCGTTACACAGGCGGTGCTACAATTGGTACCTCCTAGTCGGTCAGACCTACCGGGTGGTACCCATGGGTTATTACCCATCAATATATATATATATATATACACACACACACACACACACACACACACACACACACACACACACACACATATATATATATATATATATATATATATATATATATATATATATATATATATATATATATATATATATATATATATATAGACACACACACACACATACATACATACATACATACATACACATATATACACACTATCATTTTGTGCTAGTGTGATGTTAGTGTGATAAATTACATTGAAAAAAAATATCAGTGTAATTTTTTTAATTAAACTAACATTTTCTACTAGCATAAATCGTTAAAATATCAATTCATTTTTTTGGGCTATAATTTGAAGTATACTTTTAGTGTACCCTTCTTCAGGAAAATGTGTTGTCATCTGCCAAACAGACCTTCTTGGAAAATGATTTACTCCGTATTTCTTTGTTTTTTTGTTTCTTTAATAGCCCTGGAAGTTCGGTTGAAATTGCCAAAGGATGCAATTTTTCTCCTTGCTCTTAGCCATCTTCTTCATCTATCTCTCTGCGTTATGGAGTAATTAAAGTAATTAATGATGCTGGAGAAGTGCTAAATCCTTAACTCTCGTGTATTTTACACAAAGTTATAGTAGTATATTACGCAAAGTCCTCGTGCATCTGCACAAATTTCACGAATTTTTCCGTGGTTCCGTCTCATGTATTGTTTGCTGCTGTTAGTATAGTTGGAGTCGATTCAGCGACGTCTGCCTTCGAATTCATGGAAGGTTTCTTTTCTTTCTATTCATTTCGCCCTAAATTGTTCTTGTAATCATGTGTTTTGGTGATCCTCTTACCCCAATTATAAATATGAACTGTTTCTTTTGGTGATGTTTCAATTTTTTTACCTTTTTATTGTCTCAACACTTGTTTTTTCTTTGGTTAAAGCTTTCTTGTTTTGCCATTCTGCAATTAGTTAGAGCTTTTAGAGGTTGCCAGATACTTTCATTTGTGTTCATAGGAAATGTGGAAAATTGTACCACATAGCAACACTAGTCAGTGAATCCATGTACAATATTTTTGGTAAACCATAAAATCAGGAAGAAAAAAAACGAGGAAAGTTTGTCTTGGAACACAGAATGATATACCCGGGCTTGGCCCCATGAAGTTCTCACCCATGCCCCACATGACCATGAGAGTCCAAGGATTAAAGTTCAAGTATTATGATCCAGTTTAACTTGAATTCATAGGTCCTTAAACCCGAAAGGCCAAAATGACCTTCATTTTGACCCAAAGGTTCCGTTGGTCAACCCCGAACTCCGTCCAACCCAACCCCAAACATCCAAAACTCCCAAAAGAATTTTATCTCCTTTTGATATTCAAAATAAAGTCTTTTCCCTCCCTTTTACAGCCATGGACGAAAATGAAGGCTAAAAGACAAAACAAAAACTTTGTTTGCTGTTTTCTTCCCTTTTACACCCTTTCATTAAATAATACCTTTCTTTTCTTAAGACACACCATGTGCCTTTGTCTAATACCCCTAGGGCCAAAATTTCCCCATGAAATCTGTCCTAAAAGATAACTCAAAACACACACATGCTTTGTTGTGATTTATTTCACAAAGGGACAAACAAACCAGCCCCAAAATTCATGACACACCACCAACCAAATCAACCACCTCCCATTCCCCATGTATGGCCGAAATAATGGGCCAAAACATTCACCCACTAATCCCCTCCTTATCTCCCTTGATTTGGCCAAAAACAACAACCCCAAAACAAGCCAA